GGAAATCCAGAAAACGTTCAATTCACGCGAGTAATAAAAATTGCGGATCCGATACTCGGTGCTGGTGCTGTTGTTTCCGAAATTGATCGCGAGTGACAATTTTGTATGATTTGTCAAAAGATTTAAATACCAGAAGACGTGAAATATACTGGTATGAAGAGAATCCAAAAAGTGAGTTACATTCTTTTAGCAACAAGAGTCATTGGCAGGTTCATCTAGGGAGTCATTGGGTATAGGGGTGCGCAGAAGGACCCAATTTTTATTGCCTCTTTACCGTTAATGCTGACGTTCTCTGTCGCACATAGGAATCAATATTTAGGGTAGGAACCAGTTTAGAATTACGTCAGGGATGTATGGTGCCATACTCGGTAGTGTGATTTTGAGATTGCCAAATTCAAGACCTGGGGTTCAAATCCTTCAGGAGACAAGGTTTCTGGAGACTGGGGCCTCTTTTGTCGTGTAATATCAAATCACGAGAGAAAAAGACCCTAGTTGCCGGAGATCGACATCGACACATGAAATCAAAAAGTCTTGCTATCAGAGTAGTACATCTATAATTTTTAATTATTATACAAATTTTATTGAGGGATATGTTCTTGTATTTGTGGTTGACATTAGTTCAATTCCATCCATTTGTCTAATTATTTCATTTCTCCTTTGCCAAATAAGATACACTTTTATTTTGGCGTAGCAAAAGTAAAGAAAACAAAATAATATCATTGCTGAAGTTATGGATAGTCCAATAAGATATATATGTCCATAGTCTCGGAAATGTAATTGTATTTCACTAATATCATCTTTTATTTTTCTTTTGTCTGATTTGGGAATAATTTCAGTTACTGTTTTTACTTCAACACCTTGTATATCTAAATTATATGCATACCCAATTTTCCATGAATGATTTAGAAACAGTTTCTGCTGTAGCATTCTTTAAGGGAATAAATGATATCCATCTTGATAGCCTATCTTGGATAACCAAAATATATCTATTTCCGCTAGAACTAACTGGGACAGGACCTACTAGATCTAAGCTGATTTCCTCAAAACATTTAGTTGGAATAGGCATTGGTAGCATGGGGGAATTATGGCGGTATGCTTTAAATCTTTGACAAGTATCACACTTATGAATAAAGTCTATTACTTCTCTTTCCAAATTTATCCAATAGAAAAATTCTTTTAGAGCAAAAGTAGTTCGGTCTATTCCAGGATGACCTGAGGCGGGGGTGTTGTGATACAAGCCTATTATATATTTTCTAAATACAGGAGGAATCCATAACCTTAATCCGTTGGTAGTATTTTTGTATAGAAGGTTATTTTTTTCTATGAATTCTTTCCCGGTTGGCCAGTTATTTTTAGGAATTTTTTGTAATAGGTCCATAATTATTTCTAAAGGCAAATATGGGCTCAACTCATCTGAAAAGTATGAGGGAGAAAGGTAATTACACAACTTAGAAATTGGGGGATATCTAGAAAGGGCGTCTGCATGTGGTATATTTTTTCCTTTCTTGTATTCTACTGTGTAATTGTATTCATTTAGAGTTAGAAACCATTTGATTGCTCTCTGACTATCATTATGTCTTTGTTTACTTAGAAAAGGTATTGCTATATGATCTGTTTTTATTACAAAAGGATATCCCCATAAAAAGGATCTAAACTTTTGGACCCCATAAAAGACGGCTAATATTTCGCGATCGGTGTTTGGATACTTACTTTCAGTATTATTAAGAGATCTTGATACACATCCGATTAGTTTTTCCTTCTTGCCGTATTTTTGGGTTAGTACAGCCCCAATTGCTATATTGGAGGCATCTGTCGTTAATAAGTGTTCGGATACTTACTTTCAGTATTATTAAGAGATCTAGATACACATCCGATTAATTTTTCCTTTTTGCCGTATTTTTGGGTTAGTACAGCCCCAATTGCTATATACCTCCGTAGACAGCAATTATATTTAAGAAACCTCTTTAGCCCCTTACGATTTTGACCACGACAGTATTCTGTTATAAACTCAACAAAATGACGTAAGAGGACGAGAAGGGGGGTGCTTTTTCCCCAGTCCTTTTTTAATAAATTATGTAAGGGTTTAGCAATAGTTGCGTAATTCTCAATATGAGATCTGAAATATCCAGTTAATCCTAGTAGGGCTTGAACTCCTTTCACATTAGTTGGTGTGGGAAATTCTCGAACAGCTTTTAATTTTTCTTCAGTAATTTTTATTCCATTAGTGCTGATAAGGAATCCTAAATATTCAATTTCTTCTAAGAAAAATTGGCATTTACTGAATTTAACCTTCAAACCTGCCTTCTGTAATCGCTGAAAAATATTTTCTAGATGTTGTATATGGGATTCTGCATCTGAGGAATAAATAACAATATCATCAATATATATAAATGCATAGTTACCTAAGCATCCGTCCAATACTAAGTTCATCATTCTTTGGAAGATGCTAGGTGAATTTTTTAAACCCATGGGAAGTCGAATAAATTCGTAGTGCCCTGATGGGGTTGAGAATGCCGTTTTAAATCTGTCTTTTGGGTGAATTTCTAAATTATAAAATCCGTGCAATAAATCAAGAGCTGTGAAAAATTTGGCCTTGCCTAATTCTTCAAAAATTTGATGTATTCTGGGGAGAGGGTGTGGATCCGTTATAACATGATCATTTAATTTACGAAAATCCACTACCATTCTCCATCCACCGTCTTTTTTCCTTACCATTAGTGTGGGTGAATTATACGGTGACGTGGATGGGCAAGCTATTCCTTGATCATTCATATCATTGACAAATTTATCCATTACTTCTCTCTGAAAATGAGGAATCGGATATTGTTACCTAATTCTTCAAAAATTTGATGTATTCTGGGGAGAGGGTGTGGATCCGTTATAACATGATCATTCAATTTACAAAAATCCACTACCGTTCTCCATCCACCATCTTTTTTCCTTACCATTAGTGTGGGTGAATTATACGGTGACATGGATGGGCAAGCTATTCCTTGATCATTCATATCATGGACAAATTCATCCATTACTTCTCTCTGAAAATGGGGAATCGGATATTGTTTAGTATATATTGGTTCATTTGTGTTTAAAGGAATTGTGGGTTGATACATTTTGCAATGTCCTAATTTATCGGTTCTTTTTGCAAGTACTGTCGAACAGCTTTTAATTTAGTTTTTAATTTAATTTTTAATTTAATTTAATTGTCGAATAGCTTTTAAGGGATGACTTAGATCGCCGAAAAAATCCAAACTGAACTCGAAAGCTCCGGAACTGCTGGTTCTTATACTCAATGGACACTCTCAAGGCCTATACAACGGAAACTGAAGTCAAGACTTATTCGGTATTTCGTCGAAACAAGTTAACCGGGGGGGGAAAAACAAGTTTTACTCTTACGCTGTTCCGAGAAAACCGGTTGTAAAAACGGAAGGGAATTGGCGCCGCGTCACATTTTTTCGCGAGAACTTGTTTGCCGAGATTTACGAGCGCGCATGTGTTCACTTTTTCATTGAACTGACTCACTTCTAATTAACTTCACCTCTTAAATGGATGCACTTTCGCTCGTTTTCGATGCACTTTTGTTTTTTCTGAACCATAAGCCCTTCAAAGAATCAAAAACAAAAGGGGGGGTTTT